GGGGGGGGCGGAGAAATTAATGGGGAGCTAATACTAAGGAATATGAGGGTCTGAATATGAGAAAACGAAAAAGGAAACAGTTTACTGCAGAATGAATGACCAAGAAGAAGATGGAGAGTGGAAGTGAAAGGAGTGTGGAATAGTCTAGTCTTTGTCAAGACTTGCCATATTTATTTAGTCCAACGTAAGAGATGTTTACGTGTTACACATTAATTATAAAAATTTATTAGTAACAAATAAATTTAGCATTTGACGAAAAATTGATTGTGGAACCACGCAGTGGCGAAGCCTCGTGGTCACAAGGTGTTCAACTGACCATTCTTTGTTGAAAAATTGCACTATGTATATAAGTAAAATATTACGTTTCAGAGATAAATAACACATATTGAACACTCTTTGTCGGGGATTTTTTTTCATTTCTTTCAAATTTAAATATACTTGAAAAAATGTCTAGCTTTGCCACATATTACTAGAGAAGACTGGATTCTACTCCTTCGATCCTTTGTTTGGATGAGGAAAAACCCAACTTTCTTTATACTGTAATATCTAGAATTTTAGATTTCACGTCTAGTTAGACGTTATATTTCTCCTCAAGAAATACATTTATACTCTAATAACAGATTTAAATTTATAATATAGTAGAAGCAACTTTCACTTGGCCATGGTCATCATCATTCAAGGGCAGGCACATTGATAAATTATGTAGAGTGAAGCTGAATAGTTTCTATTTAGCCACATAACGTATTACCCTATCCTTTCCTTATGAATAAGCGTCATAATAATTAGGTACAACGTACATTCATTTATACTAAGCATATTCTCTGTTTTGATCCGTTTAATTAGAAAAACATAGCAACATATCTTTTGAAATAGCAACTTCATTCCCATTAATTCAAATTTAGTGTCTCTACTTTTAATTCCAACTATTGCTTCAATTATTGTCATTCTAAATTATTCGAATAACCATCATTTCATAGACTAATTAAAGTCAACTAAAATGAGAGAAGAAATTATCTAATACCCAAAAACCGTTGAACATAATAAAAGTAACGTAAGTGAATAAAATGCGAAAGAGGGAATATCAACCAAGCCCACCACCTTGAACATAGGATAATAATAATGCATTGAATTCCTTCTTTAATAGTGAGAGAGAGTGGGACATTATATCTATTCTAAATTCAAGCAATAGACGTTAAGAAAATGTAACGAACCCCACATTCACGTGGAAATGAAATTCTAAAAGATGAATAGTCCTATTACAAAGTTCTCGAGATTTTGAAAATTTCCCTTTGACCGAAAGCCAAAACGTGTGTGCGCAGATAATGTGTTTATCATAAAGATTTTATATAAAGGTCAATCCGAATTGCTCCTACAAAATGCCCGAGCACTTGTGTCACATCAGGAGCCAGATACAGATAAAATTTGACGCTCATTTACAACTACTCTTTAGGGAAAAAGAAGGAAATCGACACTTTAGAAAGGATACAAGATGGAATATCAAACATGTACACACAGAAAAGGTTGGGATTTTCTTTAGAACTCAAGGAATATTAGCAGAATAATGAAAGGCCAAACATATGTGAAAATTTGACCAGCCGACAACCTCTGTCCAGGACGTTGTTGTCTTCTAACTCATATCCTGGTCCTCAAGCAGATTAATGTTTTTTTAAGTCTTTGGAATTAGTAAGAAATGCCTTTGTAATGTAAAGGCTGCAGCGCTTGTTGCTCAGCTAAGTTCAAGCATAAGACACCTTAATAAAAGCTAACACTTCAAAACACGAGGCAGAGACTACCTTGGGTTTCAAACTTAGCCACATTAATTAAACATAGTCCCACCAAAAAGAATTATATTAAACTTTGAAAATCAAACAAACTCTTGAGGCCACATCAATTCAGATAACTCTTTATCATAATTCTTCTCGGATTCTCTTATATTGTCTCAAAGTTCTGCAGCCAACAATTAATTTCACTAACGTGGAGGCAACCACAATGACTGGGATAGCCACGTGCAGAAGATTTCAGCGCTAATATTTTTAAATTTTTTGGCAACAGTAACAGCCAGACTAATATAATTCTATCAACGGAGGGGTTTAAAAGGGCAGCCTAGTGCACTAAACTCCCGCGGGATCCGGGGAAGGGGCGGACCACAAGGGTCTATCGCACGCAGTCTTACCAAGGTTTAACGGTGTTTTTTTTCAACTTGCGAACCTCGAATATTCATCACTTACCTGCTTCCTAACCTTGAACCTCAATCTTCAAGGTTTTCACCAGATTTATCAACCTTTAAGTCACACCTCTGAGTGCACCATAGGAAGGATCTACTGCAGTAATAAAATTCCACCAGTTCATAAGCCTTTCTTTTATATACAATCTATTTTTTTAAAGAGATACTGGCATAGTCTAGTGGTACTATGCCATTATCAAATGGCTCATCGGATGTTTTAGCAGTTATCCATCCAAACATGATTCTTCTTCGTAAAGGAAAATTCCACAAGTCCAACAAAGATTCTCATCAAAAGAGTAATGGCCACTTGAGAAATTTCTTCAGAACGGCTGATGTCTGCCCGTTCAAAGTTTGGAAAACGATAAAATATCAGTCCCTACATCCAATAAACAACTTCTCCACACACCACTCAAAAGGGCTTCTATAGTGCGCACAAGAGTAAAAAAGAGACTCAAAGTTTAACACTTTGAACAGCCTCAAGAAATTATATTGTATATTGCGTGGACATCCAAAGTAAAAACCATTAAGACTTAGCAAGTTTGTTCTAATATTCTCTTTACTGTGGTTAATGAAAATGATGAAAGCCAAATTGTGCCACTATTCCAATTTGAACAGCTATAGCCTATAGGCCACAAAAAAATAAACTTAAGAATAAGATCAAACTCGAAGCAAAGGTGAACATGGAGACAAAGCATACATCCAATTCTCTACTTCTCTTCCAGGCGACGCAGCACTGATTCTGCAAAACTCTGTTGCCTGCAGATACAAAACAAACAAACAGTGATTTCAAACTTACATAACCTCTAAATGCTTGAGTTGCATTTTAGTATCGCTAGAGCTTGCCTATCGGAAATTCAAACAAAGACAACAATGTCAGTGGCAGGAGAACTAACGGAACTTCCTTCTAGAAGAATAAGAAAAAGGATAGTGGACAGTAACACCATCAACATAAAAGTCCACAGGACATCGCGCGCGCGCGCGCGTGTGTGTGTGTGTGTGTGTGTGTGTGTGTGTGAGAGAGAGAGAGAGAGAGAGAGATTAAATTAGATTTTAGCTACCATCATCCGCAGACATAAGAATACACCAAACAATTAAAGTCGGGAAACATAGCAGGTAAAGGATCTGCTCTTTTTTTGAGGAGGTGGTAAGGGATCAGCTCTATTACTACAAAAATCAAAGTAGACGTAAACAGTACAAAGCAACACAAAGTTTAAAGTCTATACCAATTTTGGGGGAGGGGGGAGGGGGGGGGGGGTAATATAGGAAACGTACTTCCTCTCTCGATGCTTGGGGCTAGGACGAGAGTATTTTAAATATCCATCCCAAGGAACCTTTTTAAGACCTGCTCTAGCAGAAATGATGTCCCTCACCCTGAAAAGAGAGGATGGCAAGAATTTTCTTAAATAGGAGTACATTCCAAGAATTAATATCTCACTGCTAATAAGATAATTGCCCCTGTTAGAACAGTGGTTACTGCTTTTCCCAATGGAAATTTACCTCTCTGCAAACTCGATTGCCGTCTCCCCAGGTCTTATGTTTTGAGGCTCCAGGTACCAAACATCACAGACAACAGCCCAAGATGTCATGAGCTGCAAGAGGTGGGTTGTGAAGGATTGTCTGCAATTAATAGAAGAAAGTCATACTTCAAACTAGCAATCAGAAAACATGAGAGAAGACAGAGTATAACGAGATGAATAATAAACCAGATAAGTAATTTGGATTAAGAAAACCTTACTTTCTACTATTCCAAAAGGCGTCAACAAAAATTTTGTTGTACTTGATTGCAACAGGACAAACAGTGCAACCGAGTTCAAATGCTCCCTATTCATCATGCAAGAAAAAGGATAGACCAAAACCATTAGCTTAAACACTTTTTTTGGGGGGGGTTGGGGGGGGTAGGGGGGGGAACTTGTAATATCACCCTTTTTACCCTAAAGATACTAAATTAATACTGAAGACCAGAAACACCATAAAATTTACTTTTCAGTTTCACTCTTTAACCACTTACTCACAAGAAAGAACTGATCATAAAAGACCTAAAATTGGGTCAAGAAGAGCTCAACCCTTTAAAATTCTATATAACAAGTGAATTCATTAGGCCAACCTTTTTGAACATGACAGTGTAGTGGTTATTTACGCAAGTTCCCTCGGGGAATATAAGAAGAGGGTTGTTATCGGCCCCTTCAACATGTTGCCTCAACCTGAAAACTAAAATCTGTAAGAAAATTAGTAGAAAATGAGAATGTCCAGAATGATTCTTTTGACATCACGTACTTTCGTGCTACAATTTCACGATCCTTGGCTTCTGAGCGATTGAACCAGATACATCCAACACCTTCTAAAATGGTACTCTGTAGTAGTCCTGCAAAAATATTTACTATTAATGAGAAATTGTACAGAAGAGGAGACATACAAGATCACTTGATAAATTTTGCCTTGAAGTTGTACAAAGACAAGTTTGCGGCCCAAAGTTCCCTAAGTATGCGAATCATATCTCTTCTCAAGGCGTGTCATATTTCTTCTCAAGTGCCTATAGAAAGGTAACATAACACCCTTCAAGGTGTCAACTAACAAAGCAGATGAAGTTAAGCCACACAATTCAAATATTTTAAGATAATCGAATGGCCCATCGTTTATGACAAGGTGAAGGACAGTACAAGAAGTCATAATTGGGTTGCCCCTGTTGACCAAATTCAATGGGGATGGGTATATAGCACCTTATACTCCTAAGGTTTGAACTTAAGCAAATG